ATGCAAGAGGAGGAGAGTTTAGTGTCGGAGGTCGTGGATGAGTCTCCTCCGTCATCCATTTTTTATTTAGAGGAGGAGGGTTAGGTACAGGAATAGTAACACGAAGATGTGGAAGAGGACACCAGGGCAGCAGAAGCTTGATTTGGTGTAGAAGGCTTACAGCCGTACATGTTTGTTAGCTCTACGCCTGCCAAAGACACAGACGTCCATCCCTTTGAACACTGGGACGGAACTAAATGGGAAAGGAAATGATTCTCATTTCTTATTTTAACCGTTGCGTATATTAGCTGCGACATATGACTCAAGATGATATGAGCAAAAAAATTTGATTGACAGATGACCGTTGATATATGATTGGCCGAAATTAGGTGTTCAGGCTGACGTATAACTAACTGACCTGCATAAGATAACAAAAAAAAACACAGATTTTAAGACAGGATTTTTTTTTTTTTTATAGAAAATTTTCTAATTTTTGGGACAATATAGTCTGATAAAGAGTACATTTATATACATGTTTAAGCCAGAACGATTTGACATTTAAATATGACTTCCCTACGACTTTAACATCTTACTGAAGCTTAGCAAGATATAAGATAAAGTAGGATCATTAAAAAAGTTTTACCATTCCCTCTTTGCCATTTGATGACTCTGTGTCCATACCAGGAGGTTGTTCCCCAAAGGCAACCTCTCTGAAATCCAAAAGCGAGACAACTTTAGTCAAGCATGACTCTAGATAGGACATTAAAACAACACAGGCACAAATCTTTAATATTAAATAGATCTTCATTCTCTAGATGCTTTGTCATCAACGAAAACACAGAACAAGATGTCAAAAAAGACATTGTGTTTTTCTCCTATTAGTTCACCACACAACAACGTAGAGCTTCAGTGGTTGTGCAAGTTATTTCAGTTGGTATTCAAAGCCAAACCCTAAACAGACAGATTTCTGATTGAACCAAATGCGCACCTATAACCAAACAATACATGTTTAATGAACTGCATTAGCTGGAATTTGAGACCGAGGAACAAATAAAATAGTTGCAAAGTTAATCTTTCAAACAGCAGGCATGTAAAAGTCAATTAACTGCATTAATTAACACTATTGTTACTTTTTGTTACCTCGTAGCTCCTCAACACAGCTATCATTCGCTAGCTAGCTGGTATGCTAACGGTTCTCATGACGAAAACAAAGCCATTGCGTTCAGGAAAACTTAAATATATGCGTTGGATTACTAAAACCACTGTTATTACCTATAGAAAGCTTAATAGGAAACAAACATACCCTACAGCCAAGTCCTTTTCTGCAGCTGCAGCGGTGCCCGCCTGCACTTCAGACGCCATGTTTGAGAATCAATGAAAACAAGAAAGTATCGCGAGAGCTCGACTTCCGCTCTTTGATGAAGGCAATGGCGCCACCACAGGTTCAAAGGAGAACTGCTGCAAATAGAGACAAACCCAGGCAAAATTTATTGTTTTAAAACCAGAATACTGTACAGATTATTACGGATTATTATAAATACGGATTACTTGAGTTGATATATGACTTAAAATCTCAATGGTATTGAAGTTTGTGAATGTAAATAAATATATAATGATACAAGTCACATACAAAAAAAGAACAAATTCTCCAAAATATAAAAGAAAAATGTATTGTGATGCAAACAAATCAAATACAAGCTTTAATATTTTGTGAACGTATAGAGCAAAATAGTTAAAGGGGCAGAAAAAGAAAAATAAATAAGGAAAAGAGGCAAGTTTAGTACTTTAGGTATTTGAAATGTGTTTTTACTTATTTGGTAGATGTAAAAATTACATCAAATAACAATAGGAGAATGACATTAAAAAAACATAAGTCATTAAAATATCTTACATATCATAATAAAAAGAATACCACAAATAAACACAAACAAAAATTTATATTTTTAAAAATA